CATGAGCGTGAGTAGACCAGTTTCGCTAGCAGCGCATAGTATCGGTAGATGCTACGGGACTTCCCCGCGCGAAGACATAGCATCCGTGGATGCGGTGCGACACAGTGGTGTCCCAGCTCGGGTGTCCTGGCCCTCGCACCTCGCTCGAGCCGGCAGCCAGAACGACTGTGAGTCACATTGCTCCTCCGCCACCCCGCCCTCATCCTCTACGCTGGTCACTACACCCGTGTTTGGGGCCGATGTGTGGCTTCTGCGCCCTGGACAGGGACGGGGTGCCTACCGATCGGGGCTGGTTGGAGCTTGGAGTCTTGGTTCGAACGTTTGCGAGCCAGCCGCAGGACCTCAGCGCCGCAGGACCTCAGCGCCGCAGGACCTCAGCGCCGCAGGGTCCTCCAGGAGCTCGCCGGACCTGTGCTCCCCGTGGTCGAGCACGGCCTCGGCGACATCCTGGACCCCGGTCGTAATGTTAACGGAGCCACTGCCGCGGCCGGTCGTAGTTCGTGAAGACAGCTGCAGGGGGGGAGTGTCGGACCAGGTCCGCCGCACCGCAGATGCAAAGGGACTTCCCCGCGCCCCACCCTGCTGTACACACACGCTCTTCAGACACCTAGCTATCAGGATCAGGCGCTATGAGAGCCTCCCGTGGCTGAACTTGCCAATGACCGACCCACCCTTTAAGATGACTCCCAGACGCAAAATAACAGGTCGGTCCCTCCCGCCCTGATCGGGGTCGTCGACGATGCAGCCTTCCTCGCAAATCGTTACCTGGATGTTCTCATTAACTGGCTAGGTGCGGGCTGGACGGTAGAAAGAACCAGGCACCCATCGAGCTTTCAGAACCACAAGGCCACAGCTACAGGGCTGGCTGCGGCGGGTCGCACATCCCGTCGCACGTCCGCGTCGACCCGCGCCGCGCAGCAGCGCACAGCATAGCCACCTTACGTCAGGAATTACTAGCGAGTAGCAGATGAAGGGGCGGGCTTTCGCACTGCAATTTATTTGCTGCACCTTAATTTCCATTTCTTTTCGTGACACCCAGGGATGTGAGGTGAGCGCGAGTGAGTAGAGATTTGAGTTACTTTTACGTTGGCAGCAGTGCTGGTCGAAATGGACACATCACACAGTGAGCAGTGAGCATCAATTAGCGTCAATGAACGTACCCTGGCGTCCCTCATCGTCAAATGCAGCACATTTCGTTCATCTCTCGCCGTTGACTGACTTCGAAGTGTAGTGTCGCCTTGCTGTGTGACTGTTTCTTCGTTTCGGTTCCTAACATAAGTGAAGTGAGTAATTGATTTTAAGGCAGCCTTTCATTATTATTATTATCATTATTATTACTAGGCTATGGCAGGCCATGGTGTTGAGCAGATAAAATCTTGTTGTTTCATAAAAATAAAATAAATGTGAACGTTGAATGACATAGAAGCCTACTGTATACTACTTTTTAAAGCACATGTTATGATAACTTTTACTTCATTTCTTTTCCCTTCTTATGAGTATCCTTTTTTACCATAACATTCCAAATTTGTCGAGTGGCTAGTTATTATACCCTCGGTTCAGGTTCTGTGAGTCATTGAGTTTGATTTTCTTATTTCAGGATGATTACAACCGAGTTGTTGAGTAATAAGCGGAGGGTTGTGGTTTGACTTAGAGGCAAGTAAACATTAAGCGCCTCTGTAAAGATCGAGTACCATATTGTGCGTTTTGAGCATTACACTGAGTTCGTGTTCGCTTTGTCCCTGGTTGTAGATTAACTTGCCAACTGTTCCTGGCATCCGGAAGCATGGCCGGATTACCTGTTCGCGCCTTCGTAGGCAGACAGTGCAACTCTGTTATCATTCACGGTGGCGACGGGTACCATTATCACGCGCGTGAAGAGAGAAGTAAACGTATACGTCTTCAGTGTCGTCACTACGACATAGGATGCAGAGCAACTGCGAAGATTGACAAAGAGAGTTGGGAACTGTTCCACCTCGAACCACACTCTCTGCACCCTCCAGATCTACTGCTTGAGAAAGATTTTGAAGTACGGAGGAGTATTATTGAGGCAGTAGAGAAGGACAAATTTGGATTAAAGCTGAGATTTATTCTGAATCAGATTAGATTGCAGTAAGTTTGGAATTGGTTCTTCTCTAAATGAAGTTTGAATTACTTTGTATGCTTTAAACTTTTCTCTTTCTTCACCACTCAAGACACACTGCTGAGGTAGCAAGCAGGTTCACTCGGGCCCGTATGCACTCAGCGATGTATGATGCCAGGTCTAAAAGTTATCCACGTATTCCCACAACCTTGTTGTATCTTGGAGTTTTACTGGGCATGCCAAATACACGGAGGCTATGCGAAACAGTGGATAAGCAGGACTTCATCTTTAAGGGTGTTGTAGGATGTACACAGCACAAGACCGTGGCACTGGTATTTGTATCTGGGCGCATGCTGCAGCATTTGGGTGAAGTAGACAACATACATGCTGACGGTACATTTAAGAAAAGATCCAAGAAGCCCAAGATGTCACAAATATTCAACTTGTGTACTAACTTTGGAGGATTTGTGAGTATATAGACCCCTTTTATATGAAACTGCACGTTTTCCCCAAATCTCTTAATTTTGCATGTTCCAAAGTTCAGTAATACAATGTTCACCGTTCATTATTAAAAGTAATTGTGTAAAATGTATGCTGTTATTTGCTGTGATGATTATTAACATCTGTGAAAAATGCAGATTTAAATTCAAAGCTGATGGGTGCTATGTAACACTTCATCTACCTTCACCCCAGCTCTTTCAATGAAGAAAATTCTGCTGTGCATTAATCTTCTCACAACTTGTACAAGTAATACATTGGTATGTTTATTCCCTAGGTTCTACCACTAGTTAGAGTTCTCATGATGAGACGCACAGAGGAAGCCTACGTGGAAGTTTTAAGGTATCTTAAAACACTTGCGCCTAATTTTGCACCTTCCAGAATCCACTGTGACTTCGAAAGAGCTGAGATGAACGCATTCCGAATTGTCTTTCCCCTCAGCCGGATTGTGGGATGTTTGTGGCACTACGGTGTGGTGAGTATTTTTGAGAGAGTAAGAATAGGGAGCTATGGTGTTTTCTTTTATTTTGTACTTTATGCAGGTATTAGTGGATACCGAAAAATATTGACGTAACAGCTGTTTGTTTTCTTTTCATGACCAGGCTAGCAGCATTCATGCCAGCAAGCTCGGCTTGTCACCTATTGCAAAGGAACATGAAGAAGTGAAGAGCTTCATTAGGTGCATTGCGGGTGTGCCTCTGCTACCAGCCCACAAAATTTGGACTGGTGTCTTGGAAATCTGGCAAGAAGTTGTGGAGGCTGGCTGGGAAAATGAACTCGGACAATTCTTTGCATACTTCGAAAAGGAGTGGAAGCCACGCATCGCAGAATTGTCCGTTTTCGATGTACCAGAGCGGACCAACAATGTTTCAGAGTCAGACAACCGGACACTTGCTTCTGTGATTCCTCAAAACAGGCCAAATGTTTGGCATTTGATTGGTAGGCTCTATTAATTTATCAAAGCCATTATTAAGTTCAAAGACGAACTCTACATCTGTTCCAGTCTAGTCATACTTTTGTGGTATTTGTTTTAGGTGGCTTTGTTCAACTAGAACAATTGGCATTCAGTGACAAGCTGGCGATTGCCAAGGGCAAGGCACCAACCAGTGCGAAGAGGTGGAAGGCAAAACTAAATGACAAGAGGGTCAAAAGGTTGTCCGGACTCATTGCTAATGAGCAAATCAGTTGTGCCCATTTTCTCCATCAGGCATCATTCGTCATTTTGGCTGCTGTTAACCATGGACTGAAGCTCAACAATAATCATGAAGATGACTCGTCAGATTCTGACTAAGGCACTAACAAGATGTGCTCACGGGGTGATGTGATGAAATCCCCAAAATCAAAACAGTTCACCACTTGGGACACTAGTAGTAAATTACATCAGTCAACCCATAGCCTGTATGGTTTCATGTTCTAAGATTCTGACTAAAATTGGATTGTAAGATTCACTGTTAA